GGACCGGCTCTGCTCTGAATCCGGCCTCTGCTGCACGCCCATGGCGGTTGCCCCAGAACGAAATCTCCTGAGCCAACTGGTCACTGCCCGTCAGGGTTCTGTGTGTCACCTGCGGCTGGATGTGGCCGTGACAGCCAGTCATGAGAGCGGACGCGCACCCAGGACCCACTTTCTGAAGATTCAAATTCGTGACGAGAATGATCACGCTCCTGTCTTCCAGGCAAGTTGATCAAGTGAAGTTTTGCAGCAGGCTTTTACATTTTTGTAAATTAAAGACTCGTCGATGAATGTTCACCGATTGCTAACGGGAGTCATTCATCCCGTTCTGTCTTGTGGCTCATTTCTCGGGCCCTGACAACAGCCGTACAGTAGCCTGGGCAGATAGTATCGCCGGCAAAGACAAGTGAGGCTGGAATGGCTATTCTGGCTTATTAGCTGTTGTTAACCAGTCATACCCAGAGCCAAGTGGTGCACCACCCGAGGCTCGAACTCGCAACCTTTTTGATCAGAGCCTAATGCTCTAATCACTGATCCAGGAGTCGTTGTCTTGCCGATTTAGATCGGGGGATATTGACACTCGTTGATGAACGTTCACCCGACCGCTAACGGAACTCACGCTTTCCGATCTACCTTGGGTCCCATTTCTCGGGACCTGACAGCAGCCACACAGCGGCTATTAGTATAGGCAGATATTGTTGCCGGCTAGAATGGGCTATTCCAGTTCCCCTTGTCTTTGCCGGCAAATTTTTTTTGGCTAAATTATAGACTTTTCTTCCGATCCACAGCGATGTTCTGTCCCTGAATATTTTTCAACACTTGAAAGATCGTGAGATTGCGTCGATAGCGTCATATTTATCGGGGGGTAAGATAGAGTGATTCCACCTTCATTGTTTTCCTTCCTATTTCAACATATCCTTTGCATGTTGTTACGGATTCTATACTGAAGTGGAGCAGAGAGGAGAAGCGGCCTAACGATATCTCCTCTGATGTGGTCTCTTAGTAGAGAAAGAGTCTTGACGCAAGTACGATGGATCACTGATCTTCATGAACAAGCAAACCCGCGAATAGAATATGCCAGTGTGAAGGTGCAGACGAAAGGGTTGCCAGTCTATTCGATTTGTAAGAATGGGAAACCAGTTCTTCCATTATTATTAATTTAACGGAAGATTCATTTGTAATTTTAAGCTCAAGGAAATTACAAAGCTAGTTAATCTCTGAAGCAAGAAAACACCACTGGATAAACTGTTCCTTCCACTCTGCCCTCCCATGACATCTCTCTTCTAAGGAACCGGGCCCGAAGATCACAGTTGCTAGGATTTAACTTGCTTAACTCCCTACCATAGTGTTCCCTTATTATTTTGGATAGGCGCCGACTCGTGCGACCAATATAACCTGCTCAACGGAAGCAAGTAAAGGAGTAGATGCACGTGGAGGTGGTCTGAGCTGGTAACTAATCCTTACCTTCCCCATGTAAGATTGCGTTGATTGAGAATAGTATCCGAACTCTGGCTGCTGGGGAGGTTCGTGAAACGGCTTGATTGTGGCGTCTGCCTAGGAGTTGCCTTGCCGCATCCCCTTGAAATGGGACTTTGAGGAATGGGGTCTTCTTTTCTACATTGGGTATGGTGGGTTTTGTTTCTCTCTCCATCATATTCTTTATGATGAATCTGTCCGAATATCCGTTCTCTCGAAGCAGTTCCTGGATTTTCTGGAGCTCTAGTTCAATAATGTCTGCCGAGCAGATTTTTCTGGCTCTTTGCATTAAGCAGCGGACTAGGTGAAGCTTCCGTTGGACAGGTACAGGTACGCTCGCCAAATACTCTTCTGAATTCTCTGATGGGAATTTTTGCAACTTCAAAAGAAGTATTTTTAGCTTAATTGTTTTTATTTCCTTCGGGTTTAATATTCGCAAGATAAACGACATATTTTAATTCTGATTCTGACTTTTGACCAATACGTCTTAGGGTAAGGATCATGCAGGAGTCACGCATGTTATCACCTCTTTATCCTTAGACAGGCCCATCAAAAAGCCTTTCAGCGCCGCTTGTGTCCCTCTCGCATCTTGACGTCTCGTCTTCCCATGTCTGCTCCTTCCCTAGATTTCTAATATTGGCCCTAGCAGCCACAAGTCACAACCGAGGGCTTTCCTGAGGACTTCTACCACCTTTATGTGTATTTTTGCCCTTAAAATTTTGTTAACATGCCAACATGCCTTGTCGCGCACCTGTCTATTGACATATTCGATTTCCAAACGAAGTTACAGCCTTTTTTTGTGACACCGTGTCCCGTGTCTTAAATTCACACCCAAACCCTTGCGTGTACTCGTCCCTCCTAAGGCTGCCAGTAGGCTTGAGGACCTGTTGTCAAGGCGTTTGTACTTTGGACTCCAGTTTTGGCCCACGTCAATCAAAGACG